AGTGGTTCAGTCTGAACTGAAGACTTCATTTTACTGTATTTATATTTGAGCTGCAGAAGTTTGTACGCGGCAGAAATTGGAACTAATGAACCGGATCAGATGAAACATGGTGAGATCTGAACTAAAGAACCGGATCAGATCTGAACTTGGTCCGGTTTCTCAGCAGCCTTCCAACCTGTCTGCAGGTAGTTTGTGTGTCCGTCTTCCTGTTGTGCGTCTCCAACAGATGTTCGTCCACCCAGAACAGTGTTGTGTGTCTGTTGTGTGTCCAGGTGATTCCAGACTGGAAGGACCAGGAGTGGGACCCGGAGCGACCCGAGTCCTACGCCGGGATCTTCCACTTCCGGTTCTGGAGGTTTGGTCAGTGGGTGGACGTGGTGATCGACGACCGGCTGCCGACGGTGAACGGAGAGCTCATCTACTGCCACTCCAACGACCCCGACGAGTTCTGGAGCGCGCTGGTGGAGAAGGCCTACGCCAAGTAAGAACCTCCACACAACAGCCCTCATCAGGTCCCTGTTACGCCTCAGTCCTGCCGGGTCGAACCGGTACCGTCTCCAGGGTTCAGCTCCTCCAGCTGCTGAGGATCCAGTCACAGAAGCTGAACTGGAAAATGAATCAACAATAAAACTAATGAAGGGTTTGAATGAGTTGCTTCAGTAAAGGAGGCGTTGCCATGGTATCCGGCAGTAACACACGATGAACACAAAGACACACAAATTCAGTTCAATTTATTTGTATAGCACATATTTACAACAACAGTCATCTCATAGCGCTTAACAAAGGCAGAAACACCCAACAATCCAAACATCTGGATTCTCTATAAGCTTCAGCAGTCTGCTGGTGGGACGGAACCAAAAACCCCCACAGGGGAAAAAACCTCCGACAGAACCAGGCTCAGGGAGGGACGGCCATCTGCCTCCACCGGTTGGGTGGATGTAGGATGAATTCTAACATTTAGTTTACAGTTAAACAAGTTGTTAGAAGCATTAATCCTGGTCCAGCAGGTTCTGATGGGTCGACCCGGTTTCTCTGTTTCATCTTTAAAAACAACCGCGTTTCAGATTTCTACTAACAATGAGCGAACCGGTTGAGTTGTGGCAGTTTGTGTAGTCGGTTGTCGCTGTGTGTCTCAGGATGTGCGGCTGCTACGAGGCCCTGGACGGAGGGAACACTGCCGACGCTCTGGTGGACTTCACAGGAGGAGTTTCAGAACCGATGGACCTGACCGAGGACGGCTACAAGACCGACGAGAGCCAACGGAACCAGCTGTTCGAGAGAGTTCTGAAGGTCCACAACCGAGGAGGCCTGATCAGCTGCTCCATCAGGGTGAGGATGCACAACAGACCTACAACAGACCTACAACAGACACACAACAGACACACAACAGACGCACA